GGACAAGCCACTCATGGTTCCATCCCATGCCCAGCCCTGTCTGTGCAGGGCCCACCCCTGCTCCAGCCCCACTTTCTCCCTCACTGCTGCATGCATGCCCCTCCCTACCCCTGCTGCAGCCACAGGAAGCCCACAGCTGGGCTGCCTTATGGCCCTACTGCTGCTCTGTATTTGGGGGGGTGGGGCTAAGCCCTATTAGCCCCCATCTTCCACCACCTATGCTTCCTGCTCCTCTTTCCAAGCAAAATTTCCCTAACAAACTCCCCTGTGAGCTGGCCTGTTCACTGCTCCTTGGTCCCAAAAGGTTCCTTTTCCCTGCTAATCTCCTTCCAAGCTTACAGTGAAGGAAGGTGAGGGTTTCCAAGCAAACTCCCTCATGACCCCCCCTCACTCTGGACTCTAGTTAAACAAGGAGCTTAGATGTCCCCCAGGTTCTAATCCTCCCACGATCTGGCCAGGCTGGGGCCCCACTCACCTTCCCCTGCTCCTGGCCTGATTGACCAGTCAATCAGGATCGACTGGTTGAGGACCACTAACTTAGATTGTCACAGCTGCTTAGTAGTTCTCACTGAAATCCTGTGCTCTATGGCTGCAGTGATTGCCATGCTTTCTTTCTATTCTGGTAAACATTTTTGGGGGCATTGATTCTGTAGGAAATCATGGTCAATGCCATTTTTCATGGAGATTACCATTTTTCACAGATTCTGAAAAAATCGTGAAACAGTGATATAGGTAGGTAGGTCCCTAATTATTTGTCACTTTTTGGCTCTAGTGTCAGACAGTGAGTTGGCCGCAGGGAAACAGTAGAGCACCTTCTTCTAAAGGGCTGGTGGCTGAGAAGAGAGAAACTCAAAATCACCTGCCTCTTCTTCTTCTTCAAAAAAAGGAGTAATTAGAAAGAAGTTTTGTCCCCCTTCCAACACAAACAGACTCCTGTTTTGTCAGCATTACAAAGTTCTGCTGACACCCCTTTGCCAATTAAGGGTGGGAAAACATCACACACAGACTTCCGCTGGCAGAGCTGCTGACCTTTGGGGGAGCTGGTATAACTCTGGCAGCCTGAAAACTTCTGTCTGCAGAGCTGCATCTACACAGGGGGTCTGCTGCTGTTGCTATGGCAGCGGCAGCCCCATAGTGTAGAGTAAGTCTCAGTTACCTCTCTTAAAAGCCAAACCCTTCTCTGGTGGCTTCTTTGGTGCTCAAAGGTCTTTGCTGTGAAGAATTCCAGTATCCCAAAAATCTTTTTCTTTTTGTATTATGTGATGGCTCTAGTTTTGGCCTGTGGCCCCTAATTAAAAAAGCAGTCTATCTCTGTTCACAGAATTGATACCATTGCTCCAGTGCAACTCCTCATCTGATGGCAAAGGCTAGGTGAAACATTTAGCTTTTATGGGAGGAAGGGAAGAATGGTAGCTTATTTTCAGTTTAGATTCCCAAATATTCCCCATGTTATCTTTTTCATCTTATAGCTCCAGTGGGTGATTTGTTGGTCAAATGGGAACCATTAAGGAGGAGCAAATGCAAGTTCTTCCAAATGCCTCATCATTTGCTCTGCGATCTTTATAAAGATTGCTGCTGGATAATTCAAGGCACGCCTTTTCTACTAAGACCAGGGAATGCTGATTGAGATATGACACGACATCTGCTCAAAGAAATGGGAGCACATGGCAGTAGAACGGTGTATTTCACAGCTGCAAGATCAGTACTGGAAGAGAGATGTAATGAAAATGGTGTCCACAAGGCTTATTGTGTCACGTACTGTACTAGACCAGGTGCAGGGTTGCCAACTATCCATAAATTTGTAGACAGATCATACAAAAACAAGCCTAAAAATGCCTCCCAGTAAAGTCCTGTAAAAAATTGAGTCATCTGTAAAAACATTAGCCAACTGGGGCTTGACTGAAGATCCTGTGTCAGAGGCAATCATTGAAGGACACACAGAGCAGAGCAGTACTATCTGATGACTGAGCAGGAGCACAGCAACCTGCAGGAAGCATTCTTTCAGGACTTTGTAGTCCATAGCACCTCCCGTCCATCAATGTGCTGCTGTTATTTCTAAGTCTCTGCTTGTAATACTGTTGTGAATAGGCAGACTGTAATCCTTCTTTGGGGGTCATGTTGGCACAGGGTAGTGGGACCAACAAGGGTAATGCTGGAAAATGGGCTAGGGCAGGCAGCACAGTGCAGGGTGAAGTCAGGGAGCTCAGGGTGTTGGAGTAAATAGGGGACCCCTGGGGTGAGGGCAGCACTGTGTATACCTAGTGCTCTAGTCAAGTAGGGTTGCCAACTCTAAGAATTTTTTTTTTACTTGTAGTCTACACATTTTTGAGTGGCAACCGCATTTTTTCACTATGGTTGTTGTTAAACCCTAAATCTGAACTTGTCTTCATCCAGGGCCTGGCAGGTGGCCCTTATGTATGGCAGGAGGATATTGTGTAAAACATATCGGTACAAAAGTTTGGTCATCAGTAAAAAGTTTACAGATTGTCAGTAAAAATAAATTGAATTGGATTGGCAACCCTGGTCAGACCATTAATCAAAGTTTAGTACTTTGCCTCTTGCAAGGGCCAATATGTACTACAATAGGGGAGAATATACCATATTCTCCCATCCTATATAAGACACCTCTCCAACTGTATTGTGCTGTGGAAAGCAGTGTGCTGGGTAGAGGTCCTTCCTGGCCTTGCATGCTCTGGATTAGATTAAGCTATAAAGCAGTAGCTTTGATTTACCTTATTGTAGCGTGAATAACTGCAGGTGATGTTAGGAGATGGTGAGACCTTCTGCATGTATAATGGCTCAGACTGAGAAAAAGATCATGCTCTGATGACTCTCACATGGCAAAAATACCCGTTATAATTCATTCTAATTTGTTTTATTTCCTTGATTAACTTTATAATGTAATAAAGAACCATTTTCACTCGAGCTATTCTCTGTTAATTTGTTTTAGTATCATCTGTAATGATATTCATTTAATCTTAGTCAGCGCTAATTTTAAAAACCACTGATGTAAAGCCAGAAAGTAAGTGGTAAAAAACCATGACAATCAGTTTGTGGGTCCTGAAATAATCACATGCCTTTTTAAAGCCTATATGGGGCAGCATAAAGCCAATATGTTTTATAGTTAGCTTTTGGGAGCTCACCAAGCCAGTTATATCAAGTTGGTTCTAACACTGTTCCGTCTGCCTTGTACCTGGAATTAAGAAACCAATGTGGTAGTGGTGTCTAGTGGAATAGTGAGAAGTATCCTATGAATAGGGTAACAGTTTGCCTGAGACAGTCCCAGACTCCATGGACTGGTTCTGGCTGGTTGGTCAAAAGTCCTGGGCTGGAGTTC